CATTTTAAGAGAACAGTGATTGATCAATTTTGGTTTTTAAATATGGGTGTCTCGTAATTTCCATTCACATTGCTGGTAAAAGTTGGTTAATTCAAGCCGTCTCATAATTAAGATGTTTGCGAAATTTGCGGTGTACCATATTACGGACGTTTGAGTTAGCTTTAAGTAGCATACTTTAATAATATTTCTACAGAGCCTCAATAATACTGTCATTTTATAACAAGATCAAAAAAGAAGGTCATCATCTGTGGTGACTTTGATATTAATCTATTGGAAAATTCAGATATAGTAACCAACTTCAAGGCACTCTTTCAATCATACAATTTGAAGAACTTGTTCTTGGAGCCTACACGAATCATTGCAAGCTCTGCTACATGTTTGGACAATATATTTACAGACATTGTAATTAAGGACAAGAAAATAATTAATCAAATACACTCTGACCACTGTGGTCAATTAGTATCTTTCTGTGATAGGTATGAAAAGGCGGCTGAAAGAAGAATTTTGGTGATACCTAAAACCACAAAGCGTTGTGAAAACTTTAAGGATAAACCTAAAGCTGCTTTTAATACTTCAGTACTCTGTTTAGAGAATAACCCTAACACTTACTATTTTAACTTTATTGAGCCTTTTTCTTCAACATTTAACACCATTTTTACACCAAAAACGCTAGTAGTTAAAGGTTACGCACATTTAGTGAATGGCCTACCCCTGGCTCACTCAAAAGTAGGAAAAGATTATCCGAGCTATACGATGAGAGGAATTATATTAAAAGTAAATAGTTTCATAATTATATTAAAGAATATTCGAAGTTGTTTAGGAAACTGTGTAAATAGGCTAAGTCTCGTTTTATAAGTTTAAAGATTAAAAATAGCAATTATAAGATTACAACCACTTGGAAAATTATTAACAGTGAAACTGGGAAAAACAATAACGTGATAATGAATTTAATTCAAATATCAACAATACATTTATCACATCAAATGCTGAGGTTGCTATCATTCCTGTATTAACTACTAAATCTTTGAACTTCTCACCATGCCTCGTGGAATTAATTTTCTAAAACATAAGGTTAGTAGAATTGATAATGAATTTAAGTTCCAATATGTGTCCCCGTTTGAAATTATTAAAAGCCTTTAACACCATTAATGTTAAAAAAACAACCGACCTATGGGGAAATTCTGTATTAATTTTATCTCTTGTGGTTAATCAATTGTCATTTACATTTAATAAATGTGTTGATAGTTGTGTATTTCCTGACCTTATGAAGTCCGGTAAAATTATTCCCTTATGCAAATCTTGTAGTACATCTCACCCAACTAACTTTAGACCTATCTCAGTACTACCAGTATTTAGCAAAAAATTTGAATAATAGACAATTTGGTTTTACTAGGGGCGCTCCACTACTGATGCCAGTGTTGAGCTAGTGAAACATATATTTGATTTTTTATTTTATTTTATTGAGTTTGATGCCTTTGAAAATGCCCACGATTCTCTAGATATCTTTTGCGATTTATGTAAAGCTTTTGATTGTGTTGTTCACGAAACGCTGATCAGGAAATTACAGCACTATAGTATCAAAAATAAAGCATTCAGATTCAGAAAGTTGATATTAATGGTGAGCGGTCTCCAGGCTCTGTGGTAGAAATGTGATTTCCACAAGGTTCTATTCTAGGCCCTTTTCTATTTTTAGTATACATTAACGACTTACCTCACCTTGTCAAAGACAATCTCGAGATTGTGTTGTTTGCAGATTATACATCACTACTATTTAGACTAAAACGGACACTTACTAATTTCACAGACGTAAATAGTGCCATTTCGAAAGTCGTCGTCGTCAACATTTGCTTTTAAATGAACTAAAACTAAGTATATACGTTTCACTGTGCCAAGGGTCAAGTCAGTGAATACTACTGTGATTATTAAGGATGTCGGGTTAGACCTTGTGGACACTACGAAATTTTTAGGTATAACACTAGATTCTAAGCTAAAGTGGGGCCCACATATGGATAAATTATCGAGTAGACTCAGCTCAGCAGCATACACAGTAAGAAAAATTTGACTGATGTTGATACAGCACGACTTTTTTACTTTAGTTATTTTCATAGCATGATGTCGTACGATATTCTACTGTGGGGAAATGCTTCAAACTATTTTTGTACTGCAAAAGAGAGCGATTTGAGCACTTTATAATTTAGGCAATTGTTTTTCATTGAGGAAATCATTTAAAGAAATAAACGCAATGACAGTTGCAAGTCAATATATATATTTATGAAAATGTAATATATGTTCATAAAAACAAAGATAGTTTTTTGAAAAAAGGTGATGTACATTTTATAAATACCAGAAATAGAAATAAACTTGTAGTAGCCGCCTCTAGGCTCCAAAAGATAAACAAGTCGTTTCTAGGTTAATGTGTCCGATTTTATAATAAAATCTCAAATAATATTCAAGAAGTAAGTATTAAGAAATTTAAATCCGCAATAAAACGTAAATTATGCCAGAAAGCCTATTACTCAGTTGTGGGTTACATTTAAGACAAAAATGCTTGGGAATAATTTAGCGCAGGCTATTTCTTAAGTGGAAATGTGATATGAGCTAAGGTGTTTTTCTTGTTATTTTTTCTATTTTTATTTTGTTTCATTTACTTTTTTTCTTTTATTTGATCTTTTTTTCCTAATCTTAACTAATAATTTTCTCTTTATTGTCTTTTTCCTTTTGTCCTTAATAACGAACATACTGGAGCACATCAGAACCCTGTTGTAGTATATTTAATGATGTCATTATCTGTAAATTACAAAAGAGTGGCCATGAGTTTGTTTGCCCTTTCATCTCATAAGGCTCAACCCCTTGGAATCAAGGGGTTGTAGATCGGCACAGGCATATCAAGATTTTGTATAAGTATAATTTTTATTAAAACAATTTTCCTAACTATTTGACAAATCAGAGATTGCTGCTACTTAACTGTGTGTGTGTGTTGATCTACGACTTTAGAGTCTACATGAAAGACGAATTAAACATTTTTTTTTTAATGAAATAAAGATATTTTGAACTAGAAAATTTGAACTCGAAAGGTTCATCATCATCATCATCAACAGCCTTTAAAAGTCTACTGCTGGACATGCCTCTCCTGAGAAAGGAGGTTTTGGCCTACTATACCACGCTGGCCAGATGGGTTGGTAAAGGGTTTGTGTCAAGTTTTCCTTCTCTCTGCAGTACTGTTGTCCTGCTTAGTTTTTTCCCTTAGTCGGCTCTTACGACACCCACGGGATGAATAGGGGCGGTGACACTCTGTATTCTTAATCCGTCACCACACGTCGAAAGGTTCACTTCAATATTACTTGATTGAAACAGTTTTATATCGAATATAAAATCATGTATCGGTAATTTACCTCTGTATGCATTAAAGCTAATATGGAAATTAAATTTAAAATTTAAAAAATTAAATTTCGAATATTGTTCTACAATACATGTATTATGTTAACGTTTATAACATATCTAACTGCAAAGGGTTGTTTACCTTAGTTATTTTATTTAGTACCGGAAATGAAAGATAAACATCGTGCGAGTAATCTTTTCAGTCCCTTGGGACCCAAGAGATGGACGCTGGACCGATATCGTTATAAAACTTTTACTACAAAAATATGGGAAGATGCAAAACACAGTTTATATAGTTATTAGTTGTTTAAAACATAGAATTGTAAACAAATCGTTGAAAGCAGAGCTCAAATATAGAACTTCTGAAAAAAATAATGTAAAAAAGTCTATTTATAACTTCTATTTCATTGGTTGGGTTCTGAATACATCGGCAGTCAATTCAAAGAAAATATCTTACGAAAATGAAGAGATGAAAAAGCTTATAAAAATAAAAAAGGCAATATCCTAATTTAGTCGCATTCACGTCGGTAATACTTCTTTCAAAAGTTAATAATAACTTTCTTGGTATCTCTTTAATTATTTTGTCGTTAATAGAACGAAAAATCCAATGAAATAAGAACCTTCAATTAAAGAAGAACTGAATGAATAAGAGTTCTTTACATATTTTTTACGTCATAGGGGGGCAAACGAGCAGAGGGTAACGCGTCTGCTTTTCAGGTGACCTGATGGTAAATGGCTACAATCGCTTATGGACACCTGTAACCCAAGAGACAGTGTATAAACAACAAAAACAAAACAGTCACGTACAAAGAAAATTGGTTGATACCAGTATTGCCATTGGTTGTGGGATCCGATTTCAGTATTTAGACTCAAGAGTGGTCCTTTATGCGTCTAGAAAAGGTTGGCTAGGTGAGTCAACCAAGCTCCTTCCAGAAGCGCAGAGGCCTTCAGGGGCGTTCACAGGCTTCTAGGAGCGATTTTGTACCAGGTATTGTACTTGCCCATTGTTGACACCAGTACAGTACAGCAGATTATTATTTACCGTACTGATACGAGAATTGGTCTCGTAATAAAAGTTCGGTGTCAATTCAGTTCAGATCAACTTTCGATCTCGAGCTGTCATAAAAGGTATTTTTGCAGTGAAGTATTAAACATCCAGCGTTGACTGTAATACTTTACCATTTTACACAGTAACAGTAGTAAGATCGAAAGTTGATCGGAACTAAATTGACACCAAACTTTTATTACGAGAATTGGCCTTCTGGCATCAGTACGGTATATAAAAATAAATGCATATTATAATTATGCCTATGTAATTAATATTACTATAGTTATACAGATATACATGTTTAAATCGCTAGGGTATTATGTGATTGGGTCCAAATATAAAAAAATGACATCATTTTGGTACTTACCTACTAAGTGCTGTGTGCGAAGAACTCTTGAACTGTATCTTGCAGCGTCTAATTACTCAGATCAGATTATAGTGAGTGTATAAGTATATTGTAGTGAATAAGAGTAGTCCACGTCGCTGAGAACAAGGATGTACAGCAAATAAATAATTGAAGGAGTTAGTTACAGGAACGTTTCTGGGTCACCTTGAAACAATATACGGTAGCTGGATGGCAGTAAATCTACGTAAAGAGTTACCTGGATGGGAGCAGGCGTCGGGCAACTCCACTTACCATCAATCTTGCGAGTTGGAGTCTCGCGTTTATCAGGCGCCGCGGTGCGACACGGGCCGGCGCGGGGGCGGCGCGGGGCCGGCGCGCCGTGGAGCAACGCGCGCTAAGTGGCTCGCACACACTGCGGTAACTGCTATAACTTTAAAGCCGAGAACTCTAAGGAAACGTGAGTTACCCGCTTCTTTGTCTTAATACATTTTGAACTTAAAAGTGATTAGTTACGGTCACGTAGTGACTTTAGAGGGGTTTTCTTCTTTTTACATCTTTAACGAAGCGTGCTTGTTTGTGTAATTAACACAAACAAGCACGCTTCTTGGCCAACGATTCCTAGTACCTAAAACACCTGTAACAACAGTGATGAATCCAATTCTTCTGTGTAGCTGTGTGTGTACACACACAATAACACACATTAATCCATGCTCATATCTCCGAAAAGGTAGGCAGAAGCATATTAAACACCCATATTTTTCGTACGTACGTAAGTAGGGACAAGCCAATTGCCTTTATATGGACACATTCGGAACTTACCGTTCCCACATGAAAAGGGAAAACAATGAAAGGAAAATAACTAAATGAATGCAATTCTGGGTAAGGGATAGTGCTTATTGAAGTGGATTTGAGGCCGTAAGTATTGCTTATGTCAGCGTCGCCCCTCTAACTCTAACTGACTGCTGACGGAACGCCCGAGCTCTCCAACAATTAGGGATAGAATAACATTACAATCACATGTGATAAATCATATGATTTATAAATCATGTCATTACACCTGTGACTGAATTACAAAACCACTGCCACTTATTTATTATTATTACGCTAGCGCAAGACTCACGAAAGGTCAAAATCTAAAAAAGATCGTAATCTTTGATATAAGGAATTTGGATTGATTTTAATGCTTTTTATTTTTTTCTATGACGAAATCACAATCACATCTGAAATCGCTGTGACTATAACCAATCATTGCACCAAGTGAATATGATTTAAGTAGCAATAATTTCCATGTATACCAACAACCATATTATTATTAGCAGTTGCTCGTTGTGTTCAATGAATGCATCTTGTATATGGTACAGTTTGTAAAACCTATCGTTTTATATTAGTTTACTTACAAAGAAACAATGAAATCTTTTGCTACACTTTCATTCCGCCCCGAGAAAACTTATTCTATCGCCAATTCAGTTTTTTATGGCACAATTACCCATTATATTATGTTAGAAGCAATATTGATGCAAAACATCTGCCATGAATTTATTCTAACTGAGAAACTACCGCCGCGATTTAATAGGAAAACGTGAGCAGCGTTAAAGGCGCTTCTTGTAAAATATTTTAGTTATTTCTTAGATGCAGAAGCAGATTAATGGGAGCCATTTATCTAGAACATATTACATTAGTTCCGCCTCCGATGTAAATGTAGTATATATAAAGTATAAAGTGTATAACTATATATATTATAAAGTATTATATTTAATATTATAATATCATCGTTAATGTACACCGCTCTAAATAGTACTACCCATAATAATAATAGCAAACCCCAAGTAGAAATGATTTTCATGACAAAATAAATATAGGTGCAATGAATATAGAACAAACCATTTAAACTTATAGAACCACTTCTTCCACTTCTTACCATTGCCTTCTCTTCTTATCGAGATTTCCGTTTAACTGTACTTCTAATATTCCCGTCTGATTCCTAAAAAGCCCGGTGGATTGCAGTTGACATTACGTAATTGGGACTAACATTATAAAATGATGGCAAAATGTAGGCGCGGAATACCCTATTTACTATTCTAGGAATATATTCCTAGAATAGTTATTTACTGGCATATTACACAACTTGATTGTATGTATATATTTGTAAATAGTCTTGAAACTTGCTTTTATTTTAGTTCTCTTGGATACATTTATCCAGTAAGAATTATTACAATAGTAGGAAAACTGTCGTTATGTGTACTTTAAGCGTGGGCGCCCCTCGACTAAACTTCGTCTAAGTTTCCTCTGAGGTCTTTGTCGTAGGCACGTGAATGAGAAGTCATCATCGAAATTTGATCGTGATTAGCTGATCTGTTTCAAGTGGTGGTGCCCTCGTTATATCTAATGATTAGTTTATTTCTCTGAAAAGTTATCACTCCTACGTGATTATCACAGTCTTCACAAGCTAACCTCATAAAGATAATTGTTTATTGTTTCACTTTGGTTAAGTCTGTGTGCTCAGTAAATATTTTTTCAAAAACTAGTGAGTGACTTGCACATAAATAATGATAAATTGTGGTATACATACATTTTAAGTTAGAGATGAAATGTTTTCCTCAAATTAAAATTGCACCAATCTCAAGAAGAACAATTCCAATTAAAACAAAAGATTTATTTAACTTTAATATTTATAAACAACCCGTCTGGCCAGCATGGTATAGTATACCAAAACCTCCTCTATTTAGGACTCCTCTATAGGACTATTAAAGTCTGTTGATCTAATGATGATGTAAATCTGTACAAAGTTAAGATATTGCGTAACCTAAATGGTCAGCGTAAACTGCCGAATTTAGAACCTCTTTTTTTAAATCGGTTATAAATTAGTGAATAAATTAATTACAACTGTACATTCAAAATATGTTTAAAACAAAATATCCACCGTAAGTTACAAAGTTAAGTTCACCTCGTAGACAATGGCAGTAATTCCTATTAGTGGAGAGAGCAATTGGCTCACATCATTTTCAGCCGTAAATTAGAAGTTTGCAGTAGTTAAGGTGGAGTCGGCGCCGGTCACCTACCTCCGAGGGACACTTCTGTTGTAGAAGTTAAGTGTGCGACGTGAGCACACTTTCAACTCAATATAATACTGGTCGAGTTAATTTATCTTATTCTTTCCAGTATTTTTAGTTGACTTTCACGTTTCTGACATTAATCATGGGTTATTTAGAATTAGCTATCGTTTAGTAGTAACTTATTATATAATATACCTTAGACTAATAGTTAGCGCGTTAATTCTTGTAAACAAAATAATATATTATAGAACGCGATAAGTTAAAAGTGACTTAAATTAATATTTTCTTTGCGTCAATAATATATTTGTTGCGTATTACACACACTGAACACTTGTTCAACATATATAACGTGTACACCAAACGAATATCCACAGCTGTGATGGTAAACAGTTTCAGAACCTATCGCCTTACAGAAGAAGTTACTCCACCAGTACCTGGGGTACCAGTAAAAGCCTTTCACTTCATAATAAAAGATATTCGCCGATTTACATCAAAGAAGGGAACACAATAATAATTATTATTATTTAGAAGTAAGACAGTTTAGGTCCTTCGACAGTTGTAAGTTGGTAAGTCATTGCCGACGTAAACCACATAAAGTTGTCCAAGACACTCTGTTATTAAGTTATTACACAACCGAGTAAACTTTACATGTATATACTGTGTGTTGTCACAATATACGATTTACGAAATAATAGGTCTTTACCTATGAAATTGCCGTTTTGTATGCAATAAGTGAAAGTACTTATTTTTTCAAACTTTTTTATTTCTGTTAATCGAAGTAATCACCCATGCAATCGACGCATCTTTGCCAACGCATTGGCAGTTTATTGATGCCCTTCTTGTAAAAATCAGCTGGACGGGAGGCAACAAACTCTTCAAAGGCATTTTGTACTGCCTCTCGGGAATTGAATTTTTTAGCCACTAAAAAGTTGTCTAAATTTTGGAAAAAGTAATAGTCGGTAGGTGCAAGGTCTGGTGGTCCTAATATTTTAGTTTAAATTGACTATTATAAGTAATCATTGGTATTTCAACATGTGCATAATGTGTTGATCACATCAAATATTGTTATACCACTTTTGTCAGACAGTGTCAACTTAACTAAGCCTATAAGTAATAATAATAATAACCTGACACATCTGACACACGGTCGTCTGATCCCAAACTAGGCAGGGCCTGTACTATGTTAACCAGACTGCTGATAAACATACTTATATATATGTAAATACATACATATTATAGATAAATTACACCCAGACACGGAACAAAACAATCGTCTGCTCATCACATGAATATTTGTCTTGAGTAGGAATCGAACCCACGACGACCGGCTTAGCAGTCAGGCTCACTAACCAGTAGACCAACAGGTCCATCAAAGTAGGTATTACAACCAATTTTTCGATGATACAGCATGGAGTTGAGTGTGAATATTGCTGTCGTCGTGATTCACAGATCCGGGTGGAAAAACCATGGCAAATTTATTGAGAAAAAAATCGTGTACTGTCATTGTGTTTGGCGCAGAGCTCGGATTCGAGGGGGGGAAAACAAGACTAAGAAATGTAACGAAGGGGAGGCAGGGGTTAGTTTTGTTAACGGTTTGCCTTATTGCGGGGCCGTTCTCTTTGTTATGCTAATTTGCAGATTTGTCCACTATTCAGTTTCGAAATGCTGAGCAATATTTCATGCTCGATTAATTTCCTGAAAAAACTCGTTGCTCTCAGCCAATGATTTTGTAGTAATATTTGGATTTAGTTTATCTACGAGCGATCAGATTATATTTGATTTTCTTTTTTATATGTTGAATAATGATGATTCTCAACTGTGCTAGGCGTTCGTCGTTCATTCAAGCTTCGTTTGGTTTAACGAATTGCGTGGGGACGTCTTTCGTGTGTGCCTTATAAACTAATGCAAAACTGATGTACTCTCTTAATTTCAGTATTTTTGACAAGGCAAAACTAAATTAAGTGTAGATGACAATTTAGTAGGGTTTGATGACAATAATATGTACTCAGGGATCCGTAGAAGCCTCATATCTCAGTGATTATGGATTCAATGATTTTCTTGCGCCTTAAGTAGATTGATTCTTATTTAATTTTACAAATTCTGATGTTTAGTAAATATTATATTCCAATAAATCAAATCAAGGCAATAAATTAATATGACACCATTTGCCATACATATCAGAGCTTGTTTATGTGCGATAGTAATTAGCGCTCGACGGCAGCTGCGGGTTATTTATTGAGCCAACTGTCACCCTTAACCTGTGGGTTGCGAACCGCAAACGGAACCGACTGAAATAGACTTATCTATATATTAAGATTTGATATTAATAAGGTAATTATTTACGAAAGTGCACCAATTTTCAGAATTGAAAACTCACAGATAAACTTTTATGGTGAGGTACGCGATCCCAGCCTTTTCGAGCTGCAGCCT